AAACGTATTTTAATTGATAAATAAAGACAATAAATGCCTGAAACCCAGGAATTAATTTTGAATATTTTTAGTCCAGTAGAATGTTTTGCAATTGAAAAACGGCCTACCTTCATGCTAATCTCCTTCTCCTCATTATCCTCCGATTTGCTGGTGAGAAACTCCCCGATATTTTGGACTCCAATGCCGTGCGGCCTTCTGAACAGTTGAGGCTGTCCAGCGGCCTTTTCAGTCTTCTTCGAGCTATCCGAGTAGAGCATTTTGCCTATTCTCATCACGTGCGCCACCACGTAGATGTCTTTATTTAGGTCCGAATTGCCCAAATCCTTAACATGGGAAAATCATCAGGAGAATGCATAAAGGCAGAAAACTGTTAAAAGCGCTAAAATCGCTAGGAGAACTTTCTGTTGAAAAAGTGGACGGTAGTGTAAAAGATGCAAACTTACGGTAAACACTGTACAATTACTATGCAGCTTCTCGATGTGATTCGTGAAGCCTTCTTTGGATATTTTGACTAGGAACCGTTCGCTCAGGTATTTCTGTTTGCCGGCATCGTACAGTGAAAAGTACACTTCGGTGTCTTCGCCTATGTGGTGGCCAAAGTCGCGCATGCAAAAATACAGATGATGCGTAAGGGTTTTTTTCAGCTCCCTTTTCTTTATCGTCCCCCTGGCCTGAAGATGACAAATATATCAGGCCTATTATAGTGCTGAGGTTGATCAAATCGAGCAACTCACCGATACACTGTGGGTGTTTTCCGCACTTGACACATGCACATGATACAGTTCGACTACAGACATCGAGTCCGGTTCCACCATGTTCGCTCCTTGGCGCGGAACCAGATCTAAGCCGAGTTTCCTGCAACAAAACAACCGATTTTTAGCATGCAATTTTATGTGGAAGTCTGCAGGAACAGCCGAACAATGCGATACATACAAAGCGTTATTTGGCGACTCAAGCGCTTTCTGTTGATATTTCCGAAGCTGCCTTTGCAAATACAGATTGAAGGTGTCGTTTAAAAGACACATCACAAGGAACTTGGCCTGAGAAAACTTCCGGCTGAAGAACTCTTGCAAATCGGCCTCCATGTTAAAATGCGACGCAAAAAACGAGCCGGACGCCGTCTAACACTGGATGGGGACTGAACAATTAAACCAGCTGAATTTAGCTTGAAGAAAGGCTGGCGGCAGTTAAAGGTAATTGAGGTATATACATGTGTGTGTCTGCTACTGCGAGATCGGCATTGTTTATGTGGAAAACGCTCGCTTTGTAGATGATTGCATATAAGCGACCTTCATCACTTGACTTTTACTAATTGTGCGCAAGCTATTGATGATCGTTCGCCAACACGCTGTTGAACATACAAATCAACAAAAGCCACAGGCATTTGCTTCAAATCGGGAGATGATTCTTCGCAATTGGTGCCTTATGGTGGACATTTTTACGTAACATATTGCGCAGACTTAACTAAGCAAATTCGAAGATTCCTGCTATAAATTGCAAATAAATCCATGTTAAATGCTGAAATCGATTCGGGACATCTCGAGGTGCCCTTGAGACGTTTGCCAGGTCAGTCACTTCTTAGGTGCGCGAAATCGGTTCTGCATAGTACCCAGGTGGGTGCACACTGATGGCAACTAGGCATAAGTAGCCTGGTGTTATGGACTGGCAACTGGCCATTTTTGCGCAAAAATCAAAATTGCAATTAAGATTTAACGAGGTTTTTGTCTCATTGTTGATACCAAACTAAGTAGGCCTGGGTAACACTGTGTTCAGTTGCGCTATTGAGTTGTGGCCGCTCTCTGAGTTAACGCGTTATAACTCCTCAACTCATCAACATTTTTTCTGAGTAACGTTTTACTACTTGGTTCAAACAAGTAAAAAAGCTAATGGGATCTTCGGGTTTTTAGGCCGTCGTAAAATGGAATTTATTCCTGACGTTTCACAAGCACAAGTGGTTTGCTTGAACGCTTACACTGTTCTCATCAGAAGTTCTTCCGCAGAACTTTA